ACCAGGGTCGCCCAGTGTGAGGGCACAGGTGATTTAAATGACTTTAGTGGACTTAAGCTGTAGGGTGGTTCCCAATCAGTGGGCACCTGGCTCCTCAGAAAAAGCATGAGGCCTGCTTGTCAAGGGAGTGGGGGCAGGCTCTGAGCTGAAGCCAGCACCAGACTAGGAGCTGACTAGCCTGGGAAGAGCAGGCTCTTCCCAGCCAAGGAAGTTTCAGATGCCAGAACATCACAGTATACTACAAAAATACCACACATGCTTAATAGACTCCTATGATACAGTGCCAGTAGAAAGACAGGTCTGCAGGCTCATCAGGCACATTGTAGAAGATAAATTTATATTTATCTGGAATATATTAAAGGCAAATGATTTACATTTGAGTAAGAACAGGAGAGGGACTAACGATTAGCAGAGTAAGGCAGGAGGGAGAGAGAGCCCTTAACAGGTACAAGGTCACAGCCGCTGAGGCAAACACATTCTCTTCTATTACACAGAAGGGTGACCAGACAATGACACTGGTCATATCATTCAAAATAGCTGGAAGAGCATTGTGAATGTTCTCATCACAAAGAAATAGTAACTGTGTGTGAGGGTGTAACCCAGCTATCCTGGAACTCAAGAGGAATGCACCCACCAGCCCTCACACTGGGGGCCCCCAAAGACACTTGCTAATTAGCTGCCAAGTGGAAAATAAAATGTGAGAAAGTGAGGACTACTGAACAGATCAAGCACATTTGTAAAAACGGAAGTTCTAAGGTAAAAGTGGAATATGCCAAACACATGCTCTGGCATATCGGAGGCTGTAGCAGTTGGATCAGAACTCAAGGCCAGTCAGGGTTCGTAGACCATGACTGGAAAAAAACCAAAAAAAAAACAACAACAAAAAAACAAGCCTTTGGGTATGTTTTCTGGAGAATTGGGAATGGGAACCCCTGAGCCCCAAGAGTGACCGTCCTAGAGCAGAGAAAAGACAAGAGAATTCGAGCTAGGGTAACAGACAAGAAAGACAGTGTAATACAGCATCCAGTGACTTGATGGCAGTTTCAGGACAGGAAGAATACCAGTAGGGATGTAATGTAAATTATATTGGTAAATTGTTTTGTGCTATATGCTGTTGAAGCTTGTTGAAAGTGGGTCTTGGAGTCAGGAGGGTCCCCTTATCCTAGACTCCAGTATTTTTGTCTCAAGTCCTCCCCACCCAGTTCCTTGTCCTGAGTTGGGTTGTCCCCAAGGCTCTGTAAATGAGGAGAAAGGAAAACAGAAAGCTGCTAAGGTTATTAGATAAATTGTAGTTGAAGAAAAGCTGGAAGGTCAGCTCTTTCCAACAGTCACTATTGTTGATGCTCTGAGAGGTGGGAGGTCCTTGTACCCCTCCCCAGGGTGTCCTGCTGTGGGATGAGCAGCCTCCCCATGGGTTCTTTGCCAAATCCTTTCATGGGGAAGATGACCCTGTGAGTGCGGCAATGGGGCAGAACCAAGCAGGCAGTGTCAGATGGGCACAGCTCCAGAGCTTTTTCTTGGGTCCCTCTAGCCCTGTCTGGCCTTAGTCTCTGGTGCTTCTATGGCCTGGTTTGCTTCAGGGCTAGGGCATCTTGTGTGGGGACCAAGGTGGTGTCATGTAGACACTGTGGGGATTCTTGTTTGCTGCCTTCTGTGTGACAGGGACAGGCCCCAGTCACCGAAAAGGGGAAGCAAGTGGACCAAGCAGGCTATTGAGAAGCAATTGAAGCAGTTGAAGCCATTGAAGCCACTGAAACAATCACACATAGGTGGTGGCCCTTCCAGAAGGGGCCTTGTTCCTTTCATTCTCTTCTTTCTTGCCTTTAAAAAAAAAAACCAACCAACCAAACAAACAAACAAAAAACAACCCCCCCAAAACAAAACAAAACAAAAAACAAGACTCTTATAGATCCAGTACTGGCCTTGAAGTCACTCTATACAGCTGAGGATGACCTTGAACTCCTGAAACTCTGGAATCCACTCCTAAATGCTGGGCTGACAGGTGTGCACCACTACACCTGGTTTATGTGGTGCTTTGTGCAGCTGGACAAGCACTCACAGGTTCCTGATCTGACCCCAGCTACCAGCCTGAGAGCAGATGGGCAGCCCAGCACCTAGCACAAGACAGACAGACATGGCTGCCGAGTAGGTGTGGTTCACAGTGAATCCTGTTATTTGTGGCTATGGCTTCAAGTCTCCACCATAGCCCTTCAGTCAGTCCTGAGCCAGGGGATTGCAGTCTCCACCTGCTTAGACCATCAAGACATATCAGGGTAGGGTCAATCCAGCATTTTTGAGCATGAAGCTGGTGTGTTACTTCAAGGCCATGTTGGGGAAAAGGCAAGGGTCTCAAGTTGTGTATTTTCTAAATTGCAGGGAATGCATATGAAACACAAACACACTTGTATAAGAAAAGTGTCATGACACACATGTGAAGGTCAGACGACAACTTTTAGGAGTTGATTCTTTCCTTCTAATGTGGGTTCCAGGCATCAAACTCAGGCTGTCAGGTTTGGCAGCAGTTGCCTTTACCCACTGAGCCACCTCACCAATCCTTCCTGTTGTGAACAAGACTGCCATGAGTGTGCATGAACTATTTATTTTTATTTTTATTTTTTTTTGGTTTTTCAAGACAGGGTTTCTCTGTGTAGCTTTGGAGCCTATCCTGACACTTTCTCTGTAGACCAGGCTGGCCTTGAACTCACAGAGATCCATCTGCCTCTGCCTCCTGAGTGCT